AAAGATCTCGACAAGGGCTATAAGAATATGCAATAAAAAATAGAGATTTCAATTTAAAAAATTCAATGTGACCTTGATATGACCTTAATAATGCCACCCAAGGTCTAACTAATAGTTCTATCTCTTTTCCCCTTCAGAACCAAACAACTTTTGTCTAAAAATTTTTTTTCTAAAACTTACAGGTTTTGAGATATTTGCCTGTCAAGATTAAAATATATATATATATATATATATATGTATGTATATATTTAAGAATAATTACCTGTGTTGTAGAACTTATCGCACTTATTCTCGTTTGAGGAATCAAATATAGCTCGACAATTTCTATTAAATTTGTCGCAGCAACTTTATTTAATCGAAACAATTGTACAAATTCTTTATTGGTTAGCTCGAAAGGATCTTCCCGGATATGAAATCTTCGTCTTCTTCTTTCTGGAATGTCTATTTTCTAAACCGCCCATAATCGGTGCGTTTATTATAATGTCTTCTAAATCCATTTTTACAAAAATTGTAAGTTTTTCTACAATGGCTGCGTTTCGATATATTATATATGTACACGTTTATTTTTGCTCTTCACTATCTTCTTTCAATTTTCATCACTGAAACGTATACGTTTTTCTCGAAACGTATGGTATAAACCATTCGTTGTATCGTACACAAAAAATTGCGTACACGTTGCACTTGCGACTGTCAAGAATGCTATTCTTGGGATTTTTCATTGCGATCATTTGCAACTTGCCATTTACGTATAAGCAACTATTTCAAGAATAGGGCCCCAGGTGCACGGCTAAAGGTCGGCGCTGATTGGCCAGACTTTACTCGATAATAACTTCTTTATTAAGCGTTATAGAAAAAAATGTTATAGGACTTTACTGTTCAGTTTACTGTGCTCTACCTGCTCACGAGCGTTGTCAAGAGTGCTTTGGGACACCCTGTATATATGTATATATAAAGAAGTTCGGCCGAATACCGAATAGTTTTAAATGTAAAACTGGAAGAAAATAATAGCTAATAGATTGTTGCCATCTCAGCCGCAGATGCGCTGAGTTTTAACATGCTCGAGAATCTAATTTATTTATTTATATATCTAATAATATAAAATTTAATAAAACACATTTATTGTTACACAATATATTTATGCGGGGTGGCACGGTCGGGGGTGCACCCTGTATACACAGGGTGTCATGAAAGGTGGAGGTAGATTGGATCAAACTGAGTAGTATGCGGCAGCGCACATTTCACGGCGCGCGGCTCACCGACGTGCGCCCGGCTCAAGATTGGCGCTGATTGGCCGGACTTTATTCAATAATAATTCCTTTATTAAGCGTTATAAAAAAAATGGTTCAGGACTTTTCGATTCAGTTTGACCCAATCTACCTCTACCTTTCGTTTGGTCACTTACTTGTCGGACACCATGTATATATACATACATATATATATATTAGAGATGCAACGAATAGTATATTTGACCGAATACGGAATATCGAATATTAAGCAAGGTCATGTGCCGAATAACCGAATATATGCAATATATATTGTAACCTTTTTTAAAAAAAAGTGATAAAAAAGCGCCAAGTGCACGCGCACAAGCGCCTTTTGTTATAAGAAAAACTCTTATACAGAATAGTATTATTTCAAAAAATTCTTATACAAAATAACTTTTTAACTAAAGAAAAACTTGGTGCTGCAAAAATTCAAAATGTAAATAATACGTTAATTAGATTAGCATATGTTCAGTTTAGCAGCACCAAGTTTTTCTCTAATTAAAAAGTTATTTTATACTTAAATCTGTTTTTTTAATAAAGAATTTGTTTCACTTAATTATATGTTCCACTATTTTAATCACATTGCAATTTGATACAATTTTTGATATTAGAAATAATAATAAATAAATGTTGTAACATAAATTTTTATTAGTTGGCGCAACATTTTTATCATATATCTCACTATTTTTGTAGAAAATTAAAACAACTATTTTGTAAAACAGTTTTTTAGTTTGAATATGACAGTGTTTTTGTATTAAAATAATTAAAATAAGACTATTTTATATAAGAATTTTTTGAAATAACACTATTCTGTATAAGAATTTTTTATAGCAAAAGACGCTTGTGCGCGTGCACTTGGCGCTTTTTTCACTTTTTTTTAAACAAGGTAATTTTTTAGCAGTTATATCATTTTTTTTATGTGTTATATACATATTTTGCTACTATCATATGCTTACGAGCAGTCAGATAAAATGAATATATCTATTATATTTCTGAATTATTATAAATATATATACCAAATAGCATTCCGACAGATGGAAAAATACAACGTAACAGATCTATTATATTCATTAACGATACTGAAACATGCTTCATATATTTCAAGCAATGCATTCGCATCGAAACAAGAATTGACTACAATATGTTGATTTGCAATAAACATGATGCCACAGGCTTTGTCAAAATCTTATCAACGGCTTGAAAAATTCTTCTACTTCCACTGAAAAATAAATGTATATTTATAAATTATTCATAAGACATGCATTAACTTTACACAGACTGCATTTCACTACTGTTATTTATACTTATCTGTAGTCATATGATGCATGACGAATAATATATGATGACACTCCTTTGACAAATGCATTCAAATATACTAGATTCTTGTGTGTGTATGCCTATATTACTGTTCGCAGTTCTCCATATTAGTTTTTAACAAGTATTTGATTAAATTTTCCAGAGTGCAACATTATAACGCGTAGCACTCTTTCATTTATAAAAAAGTAAAGCTGCAAAATTCTTCATGATACTTCTGGATAGTTGATCTATAGAATACACACACATATCTTATAATAAATATATTATAGAATACACACATCTCTTTCTTATAAACATATGTATTCCGATATTTGTTCTGTTTTTACACGTAGCATAAATTACTTTTGTAATGTTTTATTTTTCTCTAATATAAATTAGATATATCTGATCCAACTATTCACAAGTATCACGAAAAATTTTGCAGCTTTACTTTTTTATAAATGAAAGCGTACGAACACTGCATTCTGGCATTTTGCAAACTTAACCTATATCTGTCAAAAGCAAGTATGGAGTATGGATGCGAGCAGTAACATAGAAAGACGCCAAACGTACAAGAATACATTGCCATTATTGCATGTGTGTTGTGTACGTGTATATATATACGTGTAGCATAATACCACTATATTCTATGCATGTGTTGTATATACATATATGGCGGTAAAGAGAACGACGACGGTGATAATGATGATGATGATGGTGATGGTGATGATGGTGACGTTTCTTAAATGGAAATTTGCCACATTTCGACTTTGCTTTGTATATCTCTGCTTTATAAAACATGCAGAGCGAAAATAAAGAAACTATCCTTATATAAATCGAACTCAAGCTATCGATTAAGCCTATCAAGAATTCGATCGGTTTAGCCGTTATTCAGATCTAGTAATCTAAGATACTCTCAACTATCCGACTCGCGTATAGATACCCGGGGTGCCTCGCTGTTACTATGCGCGGTCTTTGCTTCACGTGACTTGGCGCGAGACACTACCTTGTCTCTTGATATACATATATAACTATTCTTTTATAAAATATTAACATGCCTTTTTTAATAGTGGAACAACATTTGTTTTCTCTTTTTCTCATTGCAAGTGCATTTTATCAGTTTACATCAGAAACATTAATAAACCAGAGAAAAATTAAACACACACACAATAAATAGAATAAAGTAATTAATTAATGCATCATTCTCTCTCTCTCTCTCCCGCCTCTCCCCCTCTCCCCTCTCTCCTCCCCCCTCTCTCTCTCTATCTATCTATCTATCTATTTATTTATCTATCTATGTACCTATTTATGTATCTATCTATCGATCTATCTATCTATCTATCTATCTATCTATCTATTTATCTATCTATCTATTTATTTACCTATCTATCTATATCTATATCTGAATGATTCGCGCATCCACACTTAAAAACAACGATAGAAATATATATATATATTTTTGTGTTTTCAAGAAATAAAATCTTTTAATAATCTTTTTGGAAATATTATACACTTTATTCTGTAAAGTTATAATTATATATATACGCATACATGTAAATATACACACAGGCCTACATATACAAACATGTGTATGTAATTATGTATATGTTTATACCCAGACAGCACAAGGATGTCCTTAGGACGTCCAAAGGGCATCCAGGACATACATGTAGGATTGCTTATGTAAATCTCATTTTCTGTGTTCTCCGTGTGTATGAAAGTTTATTAACTCTAATTCTATTATAAAAATATATTATAATTATACACGAACTTGTACAATCATGACGTTTGTTTCGACCGCATCTGACTCCTTCATCATCGAGAAACCGGATTGATATACAGGGTGGTCCTCGTAACGGTCGCCACGATTTTTAAGGCACTTACAATAATCTGACATAAAAAAGTTATAAACAGAAATTTATCAGTTTATAATTTTGAATAATGACACTCCTCTCGAAAACCGTGGATTCGCGTATCTCTCCGAAGAATCTGCTTTGACTAGGAATAACCGCTGTCGTCAACGGTCATAAATATCGACACGATTGCGTTCTCATTCTCTAATGCTAAAAACGAATGCTTAATTTTACAGTCTTGTTTGATATGTTCAATTTAGAATTGGTGATTCGCTCTCTTAACCCGCGAAGAATGACATCGGATTCGGTTGCATTTGGGTCGGTTGGGCGACGTTATTCACGTCACCGCGATGGGCCTGGATCGCCTGCCAGTTGATATACCAGAAGGGTTGTTTGTCCCTCGGCCAGGTCTTAATCCTATTCACCAAATCGACGTCGCCGTGAGCGTCCACGGGTAAATCGAACGGGATTATCGTGGTGGTCGCGCTCGGAGCTGTATTACCGCCAATTCGATTTCCGAGCAAGTTCGTTTCAAGAGCGCCAACTGTCCCTTGGCCTGCTTGACTCGCTGTGCCCGCTTGATTCATTGGATCTGCTTGACTTACTGAATTCGCTTGATTCGCTGGGCTCGCCTGAACTGTTTGCTGTTCCGCCGCTATTCGTTCGTCGAGATACTGAGGCAGAACTTGAGGTAGACGATTGCTACTACTGCCAGCATGCCATGGTCGTTGCGATTGCACCGAGCAAAACACGATGCTGAGAAGTACGATGTGCTTTAGCTGCAACAGAGAATAATTATAATTTAGAAGAATAAAAAACAAAATGACTCAATTGTTACTTAAGGTAGTTGTCTTGCGACAATACACTCCAAAATTTTATACTTTGAGTCAACGTTAAAACATTCGACTACCTGCGGTTACCGATTAAAAACTTTTGAACATTCTGTACTATTTCTGTCTATTGCCAAGTCAACGTCCGTAACGTTCGCGAGTATCATCTTTCTTTGTTTAACTTTCGGTGAACAACAAGGATGAAATGATACCGCGAGATCTTTTTATTATTGTATTTCTAAAATTAAATGGTCAATAATTTCAGTTTTTTAAATAGAATTCCTAAAATATCCTTCTACTTTGTATTAGTTTTTCATCACTTTCTTGTTATTCTTTCTAATTATTAAAATTTAAAATACTAGATTTTCGTACGTTTTGCGTATGCGACACGTATAAAAATTGCAATTTTTGATAGCGATTATCTAGCGTTCGGGACGGTTAATTGCTTTCAAGTTGTACAAACATATAGATATCACATTTATTAACGTATTTATTATCACATTTATTAACTTTTTAATTATAAAAAAATTTATATTTTTTGAACATTATTTAATTGAAATTGTCTGAATATTGTCTGAAATTGTTGAAATTATTCTCTAAATAAAAATATTGATATTTGATATTCGAAAAAAATAAATTATTTATACAGAATGTTAAAAAAAATCCAATATCTTGGGAGCAAATAGTATCGATCAAAACAAGAAAAGAAAGTCTAATAAACATGAATCCTGAAACAAATATCTATTTATAGAAAGTGCTTACTAAATCGGGCTTCCCGGTTATTTCCATTGGTTAAACCATAACAGAAAATTATATCTAACATTTCTTATGTGGAAAAATAGCTTTTATTACGTATGTTTATTGATTAAAACTGTACACTCTATCTAAACTTTACTATATCTAATTTAATTTTGTATTGATATCTACAACCACAATATCTGATAATAAATTATTAGTTATGCTTATATTAATTGCAAAACTAGTAAATACTCTTTTATTTACTGCATTGTAGAGGTGACTCAATCAATTAAAAGGAACATTTAGCTCAAATAGGAAAAGAGAGAAATATCTTGTATCTTCAAAGATATTAATTGTGACACATATTTACTAGATTTTTTCTTCTTGTTTTGATAAATACTATCTGTTGTGTCAAAATATATGACGCTTTTTTTAACACTTTGTATATTGTTGCGTGCGTCCCTGCGTGTTTCGTCTCTGCGTGTCATCCATAGACATAGTATTAGTGATGCAAGTTTTGCGTTTTGTGCCCGTAGAGGGGATACATACACAAGCGTGAACCGTGTACATATCCCCTCTACACGCGCCTGCAGCGGGCGAAAAACGCAAAACTTTCATGACTGAATAGTATATCTAAACCATAGACATAGTATATCTAGACCGAGCATTTGCCTTTATTTAAGGAATGGGGTAAAGATGCATGTAGAAAAGGACATACTCTGTTTCGTGCCCCTTGCGTTCTCTCTCGCTCGTACGTAGCATAACGTACTCTTTCGCTATGCTACGTGCGAGCGAGAGAGAACGCAAGGGGCACGAAACAGAGTATGTCCTTTTCTACATGCATCTTTACCCCATTCCTTAAATAAAGGCAAATGCTCGGTCTAGATATACTATGTCTATGGTTTTCTACGTGCATCTTTACCCCCACTCCTTAAATAAAGGCAAACGCTCGGTCTAGATATACTATGTCTATGGTGTCGTCTGACCGGTTATTTCTGAAACTTGCTGTGTCCGTCTCTAGGAGATCATCCCCTAGCATGTTGCTAGGGAGGTTGTTGTTAAACAACGGCGGACATTTTGTGGAAAGAACCGCTATTTGGGTCTGGCGATGAATGTCATTCCGTTCGGACGTATTTATCATTACGATATTCTCTATTATATA